GCCTACGAGGCGCAAAGGAAGCCGAGCTGGCCAGGTGGCCGCAGTGCTGTTCCCAACGCCTGCCAGTGTTCCCGCACTACAGGTGTCCCGGGCCCGTCCTGCAGGTATACACGACGGTCCCCGCGTGATGCCCCGGGCGGGACCTTCTCCTTCCTGGCAGCGGGCCCGCCGGAGAGTGCCTTCCCTCCTCGGTGTTGGTTGTCTGACCTCTGAATCTCAGGGTGTGGTGGCTCAGTGATACGTACGTTTGTAAAAAAAATTAGGGCTTCTCAATACCCCATGGAAGCCGGATAAGGATAGAGCTTTCCTCCTCTTGGGCTCCTAGACTCCATCCCCCAGCGTCCCTTGCGTCTGGTGATGCTATGGCCTGGGTCTCCCTATGGGATGGATGTGGGGGAGGAGCTGGGTCCTCCTCCAGATCGTGGCGGGAGGTGACTGAGTACAAGATAACTCCGGTAGGAAGCACTCAGCACGGGGACTGATTTTTAATGCAATTCTCTCGGGAAGTGCCAAGCAAAGTGAAATTCTGAAGAAAGCCAGCTCCCTGTGTGGGATGGACTAGAAGGAAGCTGAAAATAAAATACATCAGGTTGTCAGATCCAAGTGGGAAAGTTTAAGAGGGTCTAGGGTGTGATCTTTTTGAAAAAAAGTTCATTTTGGTCAAGCCCAGTGAAAGATACGACTTAGTTCCAAGGTTGCGTATTTTGTTTCCAGGGTTAGAGCTGGTGACTTTAATTCTGTAGACTCTTCCACTGTTCCTTGAAGGGCAGTAAGGTGGAGGGGATTCTCACTCACGCACAGAGAAGCAGGTTCAACAGCTAGGGACACCCACCTTCCCCCCGCCCCGCCCCCGGCCTGTGCCCCAGGATGCACAGTGGCCTCCCCAGGCAGCGGGGCCCCCGGCAGAGCTCTCTCCCCGTGCCCTGCTTTTCCACCTCATGCCCCTCACCCCCAGACCGCGCTGGAACCTCTTGCCTCGGGACCCGTCACACCTGGAAAGTGTTCCTGTCTCGGGGGAGGCCAGGCTGCTCGGCGCGCCCAGTGAGCCCCCTGCTGCCTCCCATTTTCACCAGAGCTCGGACCACCTCAGAAAACGTATTCCGTTACTCACGGAGGCGGGAGACCGTTTCCTAAATGCTGGTATGCGGGGACAAGTGAGGTGCCCTGGATACGTGGAAGCGGGAAGAGGCCGTCGCAACGGAGCAGGGCAGACCCTGCAGTTACCGGGGAGCGGGGCACACAGGGCACCCTGCGTGGACAGGGGAGTCCGGCCCGTTTCACCACCTGGATACAGAGGCTCAGGGCGAAGGGGGGCCGCACAGCTCGGAGGAGGGGCCCCGGAATGCAGGAGGCAGGCTGCCTGGGTTCGAGTCCTGCCCCGTCACTTAGACACACAAGTACTTAACTCCTGTGGCCTGAGCTCCCGGTCTACGGACCAGGAATGTTTACAAACCGGGCACGTTATGGGGCCTGATTCCATGGGTTCTTACGAAGACGACGAGGGTTAACATCGCAAGGTATTTCGAACGCTGCTTGGCGCACCACGAGCCCGACATCACGTTGAAGGACGAGGAGGCCTTCGTAGGGCAGGTGGGGCAGTGGAGGAAAGAGCGTCGTAGGCAACGGGAAGGCGCTCAGACGCGGAGGGAATGGCACTCAGCAAGGCTGGCGGGGAGGGGAGCGAGGTCCCCGGGCGGAAGCCCAGGCGCCAGGCGGGGGGAAGGCGGGTGCCGGCTGGGAATTGTGTCGCCACCGCCGGGTCAGCCGGCTCCTCCCGGCCTCCCCGCCCTTCCCGGCCTGCCTGCACCCCGCTCCCAGTCACCCCCGGGGCCCGTGCCCGGGCTGTGCCAGGCTGCTGCCTGTTTTCCCCTCCCGCACCCTGCTGGCTGCCGGGACAGGGCGTGCCGCCCCTTCGGGGGCCCCCCTGGGCCGCCGTCCGCTGCCCACCCAGCCCTCCTCCTCCTGCCCCACTTGCCCCGTCGTCGTCCTGGCCGGGCTCCCACCTCCCGCAGCCGGCCTGGGTCCTCAGTGTCTTAGTGTCTCCCCCATTTTCCCCTTCTGGTAACACGTGGATTCTCTCTTCCCGAGGCCGTGCCTCGATCCTGGGCCCTGGGGAGATACGTGTCTCCCTCCTGAATCTCTTCTACCAGTGGCCACACCCTCACTCCCCACCCTGACACCTGCCCTCTGCCCTCTGCCCTCTCTCAGGCTGGCTTTGGTCCCAGCTGTCCCCATCCGGGTTTTCTGGAACCCTCTCCACGGCCCCCCTGGGAGGTGCGTGTGGCCACTGCTTCGGGTGACAGCACTCGTCTGGCTCACGGCTGGCCTTCGAAGTGACGACGGGGAGAGCCGGTCCGTCCCGGATGCTCGAGAAGCATCTACAGATCACGAGGGCCTATGCCGCATCGTCAGAAGACAGCGACTTCGGCTTCCCGTACTGCTGGAGGGTTCGCAGTATGTCCTGATAGAAATGTCTGATTTACGTGGGAAAGTATCTGGGTTTTCATTCTAAACACTGCCGTTTTAGGAAGACTCGGCCAATCCTGAAGAAAAGTAAGACATTTCCCACGCCCTTTGCACGAGCTCTGCTGGGGACACGGGCTGGAGCCCCCCACCCTCCCTCACAGGGTGGAGACTTTGCCTCCCAGACTTGAATGAACGAAACGGTTTCGCGGCAAGCGGGGACTGTGGTGCGCGGAGCCCCTGGGGCTCTGACCGTCCCTGTCCCGGGGTGTCCGCGGGCTGGGACCTCCCAGAGGAAGAAACTAGGGAGAGTGTCTCGGACGCGTGTTCCTGCTCACCCGGTGCTTATGTCCCGGCACCGTTAGACGTGATCTCTTGTCACCTACGAAGGCTGCCACACTTTGGAGGAAAAGAGGGGTAACGGGAACTTTGTGTTTTCCCAGCACAGGGGGTGTATCAGGAACCCCACGTCTCAATGCGCCAAGGCCATCTTTCTGGAGACTCCTCCTCGCTAAGGCCTTAAAGGTTTGGGGCGCCGGCTGGCCTGTCACCCCACGAGGCCGGGGCCACAGCCTCCAAAGGCTGAGCCTTCAGACGCTCTGCTCAGCTGACGTCCGCACGCTTTTCCAGTTCTTGCCTGGGAATCGTCCAATTCTCGCACCTTCTGGGAATCGCATTTTGCCTACTCGATAAAATAAATGAGCACTTGTTCAGCAGACAAAAACTGCAGGTCAACAGACAATAGGGTGTGATTCAGCCTTAAAAAGGAAGGACATTGTGACAGCTGCAACACACGGTGAATCTTGGGGACGCTGTGCTCAGTGAAATCGGCCAGACCTAGAAGGACAAACACCGGCTGATTCCACTCGTCATACGTCCCTGGAGTCGTCTGATGGTGGAGGCGGAGGGTGGACGGTGGGCGCCGGGGCTGGGGGAGGGGGTCAGCGTCGGTGTTACTGGGGACAGAGCTGCGGTTTGGGAACACGAGAAGCTTCTGGAGATGGTGGGACGGTTGCACAAGAACGTGAGTGGCCTTTCTGCCACTGAGCCGTGCACCTAAAGGTAGTCAAGACGGTAAGACGTGCGTTTTACCTCAACGTACACACAGCAGTTCAGCTCTGCGCTCGGTTCCGTTCGTCCCCTTTACCCGCGTGCCGCCACCCTGTTCCTGCACAGACGCCGAGGGCCTGCAAAGGCATCTTAAGCGCCCGGCACCTGTGGGGGCAGAGTGGCACCGACAGGCGCGCCAACAGCCCTCTTCCTCCTCGGGGACGACTGAGACGCCAGCTCACAGCGCGAGGGTTCGGCCGCTGTTGGAGCGTGAAAGGCAGGGCCCCTGACTCAGCGCCCCGACGCGTCCCCCCTCCCAGGTCCTCCGGAGGCAGGGTCATGGTGGCCAGCGCCACAGTCTCAGCCTCGTGCAGCAGGGCTGGTGGCCCTCAGGCTGGGTGGGTGTCACGGGTCACATCCGGGACCCTCTGTGGCTCCTGCGGGGACCCGGGCAAATGGGCAAAAGGGGGCGCCTTGGGGTCACTGTCTGTCCTGGGTCCCAGCGGACCTCGGCGTAGACCCTCGTCCCAGTAGTGGGAGTGGGGTCTGTCTGTGCACGGGGGGGCAGAACGGACGCCGTGCGGGCCCCGAGCACGTGAACGCCCGCAGGCTGCGGGGGCCCCTCCGATCAAGGCCGGCCGCTCCCAGGAGACACCAGGGCCGCTGGCCTCGGGCCGTAGGCTGAGAGATTCGGTCAAGGAGAGCCATTCGTGTTTCCTCTCTGTCCCCTGACCCTGTGTGAGTGCCTATCACGGCAGGATTCTCTTTCACGGTGAAAACGTAACCTTCCTTTCAAGGGGCATTGAAAGGCTCCGGTCCACACGTCCCCGCACATGCCGTGACCCCTTCCTGTTTGCATGGAGGCTTCCGTTCATTCCGGCCTGGACTCGGCTTACCGCATTTCCCCTGGCGTCCTCCAGCCTGCTTTGCAAGAAGCTGGGGACACGTGGCCCGACCGATTCCACTGCCTCCGCGATCTGTCTACACCACCCACCCCGACTCTTCCCCGCAGGGCCCACCGAGTGGCATTTGACTCAACAGAATAGGCCTCTTCTGCTAAGACAACCTAACTGCACGTGTTTCTTTTAAAATTAAGCGAGTAAAACTTAACGGGTCGATTGGCTGTTCTGGAAATGTCCTGATCCCCTTTTGGCCCGGGCATGCAACATGAGGTCCCTGTGCTAAAAACCGTCCTCCTTCCCGGAGTGAAGGGCCTGCCTGCAGTCTCTAGGCCAAACGAACAAACCTACAGATGCGCGTGTGTGTGCAGCTACAGCATGCGTCTTACTGTGGATCCCGATCCAGGACTTTGGTAAACGCCTGTCCTGATGCAGAGATGGGAATGAGGCGGACGTCTCAACACACACACTCGAGGGTTTTCCTTTTTTTGCCTCAGGAGATCATGAGCTGGCGGCACCTTTGCACCTTTTCTTTCTAAACGAGCCTCGCATCGTGCCGGCCGTGACCCGGGACAGGCGGCCACTCACCTCCGGTGTGTGAGGAAGCTGCCGCTGACGTGGCCCGACCCGTCACATCCTGGCGTGGGACACGACATGCCCTCCGTCTTGACCGACTTCCAGGAGAACTGGGAGCCATTGAGGTATCCGTCCTTCTGTCTCTTGGCGGCCAAGGGACATCCTGACGCACTGCGGTGGGAGGCGTACTTCCCGGTTATGTGGCCCTGGCCGTCACACCCAGGAACGGGACATCTGGGGAGCAGAAGACACGCACGTGATGGTCGTGCCACCACCATATGCCCGGTGGCCTCCACAACGAGGTCGGAAGAACCTGGCTTGGGGAAAAACCCATCAGGCTCTGCTCCAGCAAAGGAAAAGGACAGAGGAAAAAGGCCCTGAAAGTGCCACCTAGTGGAGAGCCGAGGTAATTCCTCGCGTGGAAACGCCTGGTCAGCCGCTGACCCCAGGAAGGCGGTTTTGGGGAGAACGTCTGCGTTGGGGAGGAATGTTGGATGTCGCAAGTGAGATGCAGGCATCTGTTGAAAAGACCCCCTTTCGGACAGAATCACAGCTCTTTCGGTGGAGGAATGCAAGGCCACCGGTGGAGAAATTGCAGGATTGGTTTTTAAAGGCGATTGTATAAACCCGTGGTTTTTCTCAAGAGCCAGAAAGCGCGTTCTGTTTGGCTGTGTTCTCCCGGGGCCATAAAATAGCCTCCAGCCAGAGAGGGTGTTAAGCAGGAGGCAGAGATTTTAATTAAGTCTCCTGGAACGGTGTCGGCACGTGGTACCCCATCAGTACCTTTTGGGGAATAGGTAGGAAAATCATTGGCTGCAGCTGGAGGTCAAGGGCAGGCTAACCCCGCTCCTGAAGCTCCCCGGGGCAGTGACGGCCGTGGGGCCGAGGACGCAGGCAGACCACCAACGGTTACCGCACGGAGGTGCGACTCAGCGCGCCTCACGGGCCCGGGCCGGCGGGTTTCGCATGCGTTTTTTTAACGGCTAGAGTTTACATTCTACAAAATTAGTGTAACCTGATTACTTTGATACGTTTTATGTAATTTTTATAATAATTTTCATTTTTATTTTTTTAAATCAATTTCTTTTTTTCTCCAAAGGCCCTGAGATGAACATCGCAGGGAGACAGCCCAGGTTTATCTTACGGAGTTTTGGGACCGGGCTCCGGGCTTCCGTGTGTGGCAAACACCCGGAGGATGTGCTGGAAGCCCAGGGTGCCTGCCCGCCGCTCTCAGGTCCTGGCGGAGAACCGGACAGAGGGCGGCTATGCGGTTTCCAGCGAACATTCGCCGTCGGTGTTACCGCTAACACCTGCCTCTCCCCGCCAGTGCCACCGCGTCTCCCACCGAGGGGCAGAGGGACGTTTCCTGGCTCCGTGTCCCCCAAGCATCAGGTGGCTGGAGATTCCCCATTTACGTGGTGCTCCTGACCGGCAGGTGTGCTCTGGGATTGGTGCCCCATAGGTGGCCTTGCAGGTGCCTGGCGTCCCCTCCCCCTGCCCCCACCGCCCCCCTGGGCTCCCCCAAGGGCTCGCTGCCCTCTGCCCGCCCTCTGCCCGCCCCACACGCGCACCTGATGGGCTCCTGGTCTTCCTTGTCTTCCTTGCTCTGTGCCACCCTGATGCCACTTTTCTTAGCTCTCGGGCAACCTGAAAGACTAAAGAAGGGACACAGCCTCAGGACGCGTCCACCGTGGCGTGGGCAGGTCCCTCCCCGCTGTCGCTGCTCAGATTCTGTTTCTCCAGAAGCTGGAGCTGCTCCCCGTGAACACAAAATTATTCCGGGAGGAGGGACCTTCCGGGAACGGCCCCGCGTGTGCTCTCCAAGTCTTTAGACCCCGTCAGTCCCCTGGCGAGGGGGAGCGCTGGGTGGCCGGGAACACCAGAGAGAGGCTGGGTGGCGGGCCCAGAAAAGGGGTAACGCTGAGGAGAAAACACACGCTCCCTCCATCTCTTCCTCGGCAACCTGTTGTCTGCAGCCCGCTGCCTGGGCCCTGCCATCTGGGGACAATGACACCCGGTGGTCTGATTCCTCTCAAGTACAGACTTACTGTGAGTCTGCAGAAGGTGCAGAGGAAGTTGAACGTGATTATTTTATTCAGTCGTCAAAATTTTGGAAATAGAAGCTCACGCTTATCTAAAGGAAGACTTCCGGCTGGAACAGAAAACTACTCATACGTGTCTGATCATGCACGTGGGCCAACATGTATGAACTGCGCATGTGCTAACTTGCATGAGCGTGTACACGGGCTAACAATAGGCTGTGATATGAGATTGTGCACGAGAACGTACAGAATAAATGCGATTCTTGTGCAAAGACTGAAAAACCAGAAACTAGGCCATTTACGGAGACGCGGGGACACACGGGTGCAGACTCGTCCGGTGCCGACGCGCGGCCGTGGCCCAGGTGGGTACCCGTCACCCCTCCTCCGTTCCTGAGCTTGTGCCGTGCTTCCCGGTCAGTCCTGGCTGACCACGCTGAGTCTCAGGGTCCCCTCACCTATCGCTGCACTCTGCCCCCCCAGCATCTTCCCGCCTTTCCTCTCGGGTAAGAAGCAGCACCCCACAGGCAGAGGGCGGGTGCTGGGGTTGGGGCTTCGGGCCCCGGCGCTGCCCCCTCCTGTCTCCGTCGACCGGTGTCCCAACCCCTCTGGAACGTGGCCCGTCTGCTACGTCACCGTCTCCTTTAATAGGAACGTGGGAAAGACGAGATGTGCCCGGATCCTCTCCCTCCTGCTGCCTCTGGTCCTCCGTTTCAAGGTAAAAACTTGGAAAGTGGGTGTGCCGCTCCGTGGCTGTCCCCACTGCCGTCCGGCTCTGATCTCTTGCCAGGAAGAGCGCTCTTTCCGGTCACCATGATCCGGAGCCGGAGGGCGCCCCTGGCCTCTTGCAGGCGATGCTCCTCCGAGCCTGTCGGCAGCCTCGGCGTCTGGAGGGCCTGTGTCCCAGGAGGTCGGTGTCGTGTGCTGCCCTCGCTTGAGGCCTGAGCTCACACGTCCCTCGTGCTCCTGAGCCCCCGCCAGGCCCTCTCCCCGCACGTCCTTCCCTTCCGGCGGAGCTCTCCTGAGCCCTCTGCCATCCACGACCAAACTCAAGCCGTGCGTCCTACGACTCCTGGTCACGTCTCTTTGGGCGACGCCCTTCATTCCCGCCAAAGGTTAAACTCCTCGCCCTCAGTTCCCTCCACGTCTCGTGTGCTCCTCTCCGTGGATGGCATCGGCGTCTGCTCCCTGGCCCGAGACGGAACTGAGCTCATCCTTGGCCTTACTTGCCCGGGGTCCTGCTGGTTTTACGTCCCCCGTATCTTCGGAACCATCCCCCTTCTGCCTCCACGACGCCGTGTCGGGACGGGCTGGCGTCAGCTCTGAGCTGTGTTAAGCTGCTCCATTTAGGACCTTCCGGTGGCCCACCACCAAATGCCTCGTTGTGGGCACCGTGGGCCGGCCCCGCCCCCAGTGTCTGCCGGCTCTCCCGCCTGGCGCACGCCTGCGCCCTCGCACGCTCTTCCGGCGCCACTGTCCCCGCCGTCTGCTGGCGGGCACATCCCTCGAGGTGTGTTCCTCGGTGTGGGCGCCCTTCTGACAACCGGCCCCGGGAGCCCGCGGGGCCCCGTCCCCTGCGGGTGTCACTCGCGCTGTGCTGGAAGCCGTCCGCCCACCCACCACAGGCTGCTGAGCCGCGAGTTCCGGGGGCGCGAGAGCCATGTGCTCGGTCGCCCGCGTCCAGTCCCACACCGTGTGTCCAGCCGGGGGTCTGCGTGCGCCCGCGGCCCTTCCTGGCTTGGATCCGGGGCCCTGCGGCCCGCGTGGCTTCCGCCCGCCGGCGGCCATCCCCTCCTGGATGTTCCCGTTACTTCCGAACGCTGCTTTCGGGTCCTCCCTGCGCGGTTTCCTCACGTGCAGTCAGGACACAAATACTAGTCCCGTAGGACAGCGAGACCACACAGGCAACGTGTACAGCCATGCTCGTGGTACATAGTACGTGCTCGACACATGCTACCTTTGCCATCAGAGAACATTCTGGAACCCTAAGGGAGCAGCTGCTCTCTGAGCCTGGGAGGCTGTCCTGGGGAGCCAGAGTCACGTGGTGGCTTGTGACAGCTCAAGGCTTTGGCACTCTTGCTGCATGTGAGCCATGGCGGGTCACGGGGATCAGGAGCTCCTCGGGACTGTGTGCTGGGACCACGCTGGGTACGGGTGGGGGGGCCGCTGCGCTGGCAGGAAACAGCCGGCCTGGGAAGGGCCAGCTCGAGCAATGGATCCTTGTTGTCCTTGTGGACGGGGCCGTGGTCTCTGTGGACCCCTCCAGCCTCACCTGCCAGATGCGGTCCCTCTTGTCACTGAGGACTGAGGGAGGCAGAACATGTGACGGTGGGCTGGGTTGTTTTTTTTCTTTTTTTAAGTTTACTTATTTTGAGAGAGAGGGAGAGACAGAGAATACCAAGCAGGGGCTCAAACTCGAACTCAAAAACCGTGAGAGCAGAACCCGAGCTGAAATCGAGAGTCAGACGCTTAACCGACCGAGCCCTCCAGGCATCCGGTTTGTTTTGTTTGTTTTGTTGTTGATGGAACCCTAGAGACCGCCAGCAAATATGGATTGTACTGAATTCAGGGAAGCGTCAGAGCTGGTGCAGAGATGAGAAAATCGCACCATGAAAACGGAAATGGAGCGGGCACAGGCCAGAATGTCTCCACCCAGAGCCGGGACTGGGCGACTTTCGGGGCCCTTCTGGGCGGGGAGGTGGCCAACTCTGAACCTGTTTCCTCCGTGCGAGAGGACACGACCTCACCTAACACCGGCGTGGCCCTGAGAGCGGTGGAGGACAGCGCACTGTCCCCGGCTCCCGGCTGAGAGGGGCACCTGGCCTCTGTGCCCCAGTCAGGAGGGCGGCCGGCCCACAGCAACGCCCCAGGCAGGGCCTGACCGCGTGCTTTCCCTGGAGGGGGGGGGGGGCTCGGCATCCACAGCCCCCGTTCTGGGCCCCTGCTTCCTGGGAGACCCGGGATGGCAGGAGGGCTGCGTGGGCTCACGGCTGCCTGAGTTGTGGCACCGTTTTAAAGATGTTTTCTCTGTTGTTTGCTCACCGGTAACATTCCTCGCGTCCCTGGGAAGCGACAGTGGACGGTTAACCCTGAAAGCAGGTTCTCTCCTTGTGTTTGGGCCTCGTGAGCGGCAGGCCTGGGGGCTCCGCGCCAGCCTCTCCTTCCTCAGTGGCCGCCCGAGGGAGCTGCCAGCCGTGCCTGTGCTTCCCCGGGTGGTGGCCTCAGCCAGTGGGACAGACGGCATGGCCCTGTGCGCCGCTTGGACTTTCGGGGCGCTCCTGCGGGGGGCGCTGGCTGTGCTCAGCTTTGCCGGGAACCGGGTCAGATTCATGTGCCCGGGCTTGGCTTTTCAGGAAACCTGGGCTTTGTGACATTTTATGCATAGGTTTGTGCTCTATCAATACCCGCCTCTCTAACCTAGAAGCTCAGGGAATAAAAATGGGGAAACTGAATTAACACATTACGTGTCACCAAGCCCAAAGAGAAATCAGTAGCAGAACATACATTTGGACGTGGAGTGACCACCAGATGTCCACTTTTAGCTGTGCAGACACCGTGCTGGGAGTCGTGGTCACGTGAGGACACAGACATTTCTTTTCAAGATAAATTAAGATAAAGGGTAGCGTAGAATGTGCTTGGCGTTTCCCACTTAACTGGAGGGTTTACTTTCACCGAATTCACTCTGGACCAGTGACTTCACACTGGCGGTGTGTTTGCGGGTGTTTTTTCCTGCTCTGCACTCCCCTGACCGCGGCGGGCTCCGAGCTGCCCCCCAGCCTGCTCCGCCCCCTGTGGTCCTCGGGGTGGCTCCGGGAAACATTCGGTGACGTCCAGAGACTTTCCGCAGCCATCACGAGCCACGGCGGCGGTGGTGCTGGCGTCCGGTGGGCAGACGTCCCACCGTGCGCCGGGCAGGGCGCCGTCCGGCCCCCAGTGTCCGCAGGGCCCAGGCGGGTGCCCCTGGCGTAGAGGATGCATGTGAGGAATCCTCCCGTGACCCCACCGTTCAGTTCTCCATTCCTAAGCTGCGCTTTTCACAGATCTGAGCGGCTGAGGAGTGCTCCGGAGTGAGCCCGGGGAGCACGGGGCACGCGGTGGGGTCCGGATGAGGAGGCTGCATCTGCCCTCCTCCAAACCGGGCCGGCAGCCGCTCAGCGTCCCCTGCTCTGACCACTGGCATCTGACCACTCGGGCGGCCACGGGCAGCACACGATCCACCGGCAAGCACCCTCCCTGTGCTGGGTGGCCGGCGGCTAACTCTCATTGTCAGGGGCCTCTGCGCCCCCGTCCCCCTGTCCCCCTCTCTGCCCCTCTCTCCTCTCTCCCCCTGTCTCCCCCCTCCCCCTCCCCCTCCCTTTCCCTCTCTCCCCCTCCTCTCCGTCCTGTCTTCTTTGTTTCCTGGTGGGGGGTGCGTCCGAAGCCCGGATGCTCATCCACTTGGGGACCGCCCACTTTATGCTGGGAAACGCAGACAGTGACCCAGCAGCAGTGTCAGTCTCTGTATTTGCAGCACCACCTCCCACTGTTGGATGGGACTTAGCTCCCGAATTCCTTGTCCCGACCTTGGCCTTGCCTGTTCTTGCTCACTGAACAGGACAAGAAATTGGTGCGGTGACCCCAGGTCTAGACCCACTTTTGTGGACACAAGGTCTCCAGAGTTTCTTTCAGGTCACTTCCAACGCCTGGCCCGGCACCCAGGAGGGAGACCTCAGGCTGCCCTTTGGATAATCCCTTCCCCTTGGGAGCAGCAGGGCCTGTGCCAAGTCGTGTCTTCAGCTCTGCTACTGGGGCTCAGGTTTTCATATTTAGGAGGCCGGCTCCCAGTGGTGTTGGAACGCCTGCCTCTCAGTGGCCGTCCCAGGGACCTTATTCTCTGCCAGCGATGGTCCTTTTCCCCGTCCTCTTCTGCTTTAGAACGGCTGCTGCTGGATGCCCCGAGGAGTCTCTCATAGGCGGATGCAGGTGCAGGACAGGTGGGGCGTCAGGGGGGCGGGCGGTCTGGGGCCGGGAGCGTCTGCCTCCCGTGAGGACCCCACGGGGAAGGCACCACGTGGTGGTCTGGCGTCTGGTGCATCGGCGGGTGGCACGGAGCGTGCACCAGAGCCTGCTGGAAGCCTGCGCCCGCGCGGCGGGACAAGGAGTGGGGCCGTGCAGGGGGACGGGCTCGTCACGTACCTTCGATGAGAAGCGTAGTTGCCGGTGATGTGCCCAGAGCCGTCGCAGCCGGGGGTCGGGCACCTGCAAACACAAATGCAGATCGGCCAGTTGACTTGAGAGAAATCGACCCCCTCAACACGTCACGTCCTTACTCATCCAGAAAGCAAACTCTCAATGCTTCACCTCCCTACCAGAGAGAGACGAGCGGAGCAGGAAGCCCCGCGGCGGGGAGCGGGCACCTGTGCCCACCTAGCGCACCACCAGATACCAACCTTGGCCACCTTCTTCCTTCCAAGCACAAGGACGCTTTCCGGAGCATCAGGCCCTCGGTACCTGCCTCGCTCACAACACCCCCTCGGGCTTGGGCTCGAGGCTGTTGAGTCCAGAGACTCTGACCCCTGCAGACACCCCCCCCCCCCCCCGCCTGCTTCCCTCCTGCTCACGTGAGCCTCAGGGAGGGAGGGGTCAGTGGGACTCAGCCACAGCAGTCGTCCACGAAGCAAGCTTCGTACACGGCGGACGTGCGCAGGGACTGCTCTTTGTCTACACTTGAAACACCGGCACTAAATCAGGCTCCCATTAAAGCTGGGCCACCTGGCTGACCCGAGTCCAGAGGGCGGCGCCTGGGCCTGAGCCGTGGGGACTCCATGAGAGCGTCAGGCCACCTCGAGTTGCCTTAAAGCCCCGTGACCTTAACCGACTCGCACGGAGCCCGGATCTCTTGGTCCAGCAGTCCCCATCAGCCCAGACCCTAGAGTCCTTCTGGGACCTGCACCGGCTGTGTCGGCCTGCGCTATGGGACACGGCATTCTTTAAGAACGGTTTTGTCATCACTGCCCTTCCTATGACATCCTAAGTGCACTGTCTCAAGGAAAGTCAGGTGCACTGCAGACGCCTTGCATCTCAAGCTATTCTGGTTGCCATGTGGCCACCGGGACTGTAAAAAACAAGGACAAAAATTAAGAAAAAATTCTTCTTTCTTTCCAGATAGCTTGTAACTCTCAAAAACAACAAGGAAGAAGGGACTTAGTAAGAACATCACGCCTGGGTCAGCCCTGTGCCTCACCCCCACTCCGTGAACACCCGAGTGCCTGGTAAGGACAAAAATCACAAACTTCAAGTATTTAACCAGTGTCTGCTGCTTCTGAGGGGTTTCACGTGGCTTTCCGCTCAGAGTCACCGGGGACACCGGATGCTGAGACGGGGCCAGCAAGTGACTTGTCTGGAGCAGGACGTGGTGGCCCCGCTGCCCCCCCAGCACCGCCGGATGCTGGGCGGAGACGGCAGTGGGTGTCACAAGCCAACACTCGGTGTCTGTCTACATCTCCTTCAGTCCTAAGAGAGGGGTCCGTCCTGGCTCTCACGGTGCGCTAACGGCTATTTGCCGTGTCATATTACAGGTTAAAGTTCCGTTTACGGCCCCTGCTGTGAGAGCTTAAAGAGGCAAACGGATCACGTTTGCCATGTCGCTGGTGTGGACACTCGGAACCAGGAGTTTTAAAATATGCGCTTGTGGTGGAACAATGAAGTGTGTGCAGAATCTGTGTGTCGAGAACAACCACCGAAATCTGACTGTTGACCTGAGTTTTGTTAGAGCGACAGCTGTTTGTGTGCAATTAAAGTCTGATCGCAAGGCTATTCTGCCAATGGGTAAGTATTTATTTTCTAAATAATAACTTAAGTGACCGAGCCGAACTGCCTGGTTCCTCGCATGGATGTGCTTCGTGTGGACAGGCACCCCGCTGTCCGCACCCCCCCCCCCGCCCTGCCCCCGCTCACAACATGCCCCGAGGGAGGGGAGTCTGAAGGCAATAAACCTCATTCTGTCTAAGAAAAGCTCATCTTCGTGCAAGTTTCTGTTTTGAAAATGTATCAAGAAACAGAAATGTTTCCTACTAGCCAATAATACACACTTGGCCTTGCTTTTTGCTTAAAAAAATTCTTCAAACTCTTCCTAATTTAAGCACTCAGCGCAAATTTATTTAAAATTTATTCATTTTAACACGAGTAGAGAATTTTCAATGTGCCTTTTTTTGGTGAGGGCTGGAGGAGGTTGACATATTCTGTTCAAATTTAAAGTGAACCATTATAACCAAAATAATGCAAATGAAAATCAGATTTTACTAATTATAAAAAAAGAGAGAAAGACTTTCAGAGTAGATTTTGTGTGTTTAAGCCATTTACAAAGGCATCATCTGATAAAAAAAGAGGCGTTTAAAATGTCCTTTATCACCATGAAAACAACACACAAAATATTGATTTGGCCCGTTTCCGCTGTGTTGGGAAAGAAAAAACGTTTCCAGAAAGCGTCCTCTCGGCTTTCATCGTCAGCCGGGCAGAGGGGGTGGAGCCCCAGGCCTGCCTCAGGCCCTGTGACCCGAGTCTGCTCCCCAAGGGCCACACCTCTGCGCGGGGGCACCAAGGGCGGCCTCGTGGCCTCCACCTGTCACGCGCCGGCCGCGCGAGCGTGAGCCCAGCAGCCCAGGACCTTGGCCAGGCCAGGCGGGGGTGTGGGATGCCTTGCTCGCTGCCTTTCTTTGTTCGCTCCCCGTGACGCAGCCAAGGCTTTTGGGGGGAGGCGATTCAGCCTTTTCACCTTTAGGTGGTGCTTCCGGACCACGTAAGGCAGCCCAGAAAGGTTTCTGTCTTGTATCAGCTCTTCGTGTTCATTTTTCTGTTGCTGCTCAAGACTTTAAGGCTTTTTTAAACTCCTAGATTATATGCCGATTTTCTAGCTTTAAGAAATCTCAGCACTCAAAAATACAATTTTCTGAAGTCGGTGAATGAGGGAGTGATGATTCACCTAACAAAAGGGGTCTTTGCTTCCCAAGCGAGCCAGCTCCAGGACCCTTGATAATGGGGCGGTGTAAAATCGATTTACCAAAACTCGATTTGCATCTACCCATCTAAGAGCACATCTTTTCCATGAAAGGAGGCCCGTGTGGGATAATCAAAGTCCCCCGTGGATAAAATCAGACAGGAGCATGTGCGGCACAGCTTGGGTTTTGAAATGGCAGGAGAGATTGACTGGGTTTCCATGGAAACTCCCCAGAAGGCAGGCACGGGTTCTCTGCGCTGGAGTAGTCGGCCGCCCTCCCTGCTCCCTGGCAGTTCCCGGGGACAATGGCACCGAGTCTATTTTAGGTTCCTGTACTTGGAGATGCAAAGTTCTGTGACATAAAACACTTGCTTCACACATCGCTTCTCTTTCAGTCCAAGGGACTTTTGGTGGCGATAGTCTGAGCAAGCACGGGTGCGGAGATAATCTGAGAGCTCTCTTGCCGCCCGGGGTGGGGTGGGGGTGGGGGGTGTTCGAGACAAAAACGTTTGTGCCTTATCTGTGATCTTGCATTTGCCTCGGGGTCTCAGTGATACCAGGAGAAAATGATTTGGGGTTACTGCATGTTATCATCTGGCTGGAAAAATTGGTCCGAAAAAGACATTTAGAAATGGCAATGGGGCGGGGCCCCCGGGGTGGCTCAGTCGGTTAGGCCCGACTCTTGATTTTGGCTCAGGTCATGATCTTACAGTTTGTGAGTTTGAGCCCCGCGTCTGACAGTGTGGAGCCTGCTTGGGATTCTCTCTCTCCCTCTCTCTCTGCTCCTCCCCCCACTAGTGCTATTTCTCTCTCAAAATAAAGAAATAAACATTAAAAAAAAGAATGGCGATGGGAACATCATGCTCACATGTTTTAAAAGGTGTTTAGGTTTTGCAGAATCCAAGTATAATCTGGAAAAACATCAGGACCACTCACAAACTCCTGGACTTCTGACTTCATGGACCCGCTCCTTCTCAGGTGGGAGCAGTGTGGGTTTCTGTTGCTTTTGCAGATCTAAGACGGCAAAGAGACCTGCGAGCCCGAACCTCCCAGAATGCCCTGTGCTCATGGCTGCACTGAGCTATGTACACCAAAACAAACATTCTGTTTGGATCTACACAGGAACTATCACTGATCACAGCCACAATGGGGGTCATAGGATGTATGCCCTAATGTCAAAGCACAACTTAATGTCTCTCCATTAAAACACATAATCCTGGACACCATAAGACTTTTCACTGGCACACGTCCCAGGAATGTCACAGCCTCGTGTCTGCCCTGATCTGTCCCTCCGCGAGACATACACCTGTTACAGTGTTGTCTTCCCCTCCCATCTAAAACCCCTGTCCTGAGACCGGGTGGGAGCAATGGAACTCATCAAACCCACGACTGAAGTGTCATCGATTCGTTATTGGTAAGAACATCTTTAAAGTGCCTCCTCCAAGGTGCTATTGTGCCCCTCTCTTTTGAAAATAAATATGAGGATTTGGTAAAGAGTTCTATTAAGAAAGACATCTAAAATAGGGCGTTTTCTTGCAGTTAAACGGATGCCTGCATCAGAGTGCATGTTACTACACGTTGTGATCTGAGACTGGTGAACCGCTGTGGCTTCTGCCCCCCTGGCGACACGCCAGTGAGGTGCAGGGCGGATTCCATGCACACGAGCATTTCTTCCTGGGGACCCCAAGGTGCTGCCCAGGCGCCCTTGCCGGGTAGCAGGTGGCTAAGCCCCTGACCCCACAGGGCCAGCCCCTCACCGTCTACCTGGGGGGTGACGCCGCCCTGAGCGGTAACACACCCTGGGTGCGGCAGCCTCTGTGACCTTGTGCCCAGCGTCCCCCCTCGCTGTGCTGGCAGAAAGACCCAGCTCGTCTCCTGCGAATCAGCTTACAGCAAAAAAATATCTGAAGGTGCCTCAGGCTCTCTCATCCTGGTAAAAGTCAATCACTTATTTTTAAAAACCTTCTACATAGAGGCAGAAAGAACCGTGGGTGTCTCCGGGCTGCACCGGGAGAGTCTGTGATTGACCCGCCTCCGTGAACTGCCCTGCGAGACTGAGACAGTAGCTAGAAATCCACAGAAACAGACCCTGAGGATCCAGGGTGACCATACAAAATGGTCCAAGGGGTGCACTGGAGTTCTGGGAGGATTTCGTGGAAAGGCCCTCGGCCACGTTTCTTGCTCATTTCTTTCGTGGCAACTCTATCAAGGGAACGTAATTAAGTAAAATGCCAAGTATTAAAAAATATGTACTTTTTTTTCT